AAAATACTGTAGTGAATCATAAACTATAATTCGAATCAGGGTACGAATCTCCTTACTAAATGTCCCCTTATTCTTTATTTTTAATAAATATTTTTTTATTAGTGTAATTATTTAACTAAAAAAATTATGAATTAAGAATAAAAGATAAAAATTTTGATTGATGCACTTTGAAGAATATTGTCAAAATTATCTGTCTATATTCCACACTGATCTATTTGGCCCATTACCTGCCTTTATGTTAGAGATATTGAGCGAGCATTCTAGACTTTTTAGAGAAAATTTTAAGAAGTTTAACTATTGTTTTTTTGAACTCAATTATTTATACCGCTACATAAAATTTTAATGCCACTATAGAAAATAACATGTATGATACAAAGTGATGACTTATAAGTTATGAAAGATAACCTACAGCTTTCAAAAAATAACTAGTTACGAAAGATAACCTACAGGCTATAAAAAGATAACCTATAAGCTATTAGTGGTATAAGATAAATTTGACAACAGTTGCATAAATAAAATAGTGTAATTTTATTAATGGCATTTTGAAAAATTCTCCCACTTTTTATGTGTAGATCAAATAATGCCAGAGGTTATTAAACTGTTACAATTTTTGCCATAGGTTCAAAAAGAATTGAGGTTGTAAGGACTGAATACCCTCAAAATGACTAGTGCTATTTGTTTCTCTCATTCTCTTCTCTCTCCCTCCCATCTCATTTGCTCCTCTACCGGCACTACCCCCAAATAATTGGGGAAACAGTGAAGGCTACGAATATCTGGTCGCCAAACATCGTGGTGCGCATAGATCCAAACTGCCGGTTCTCATCAACGAGCAAACGAGTCTGAGATCTTTATACGATCTCTTCACCTCTGGTAGAGAACGGACGTTAATCTTCTCTGACCAGCCATCGATCTCCGGACAGAGATCTCCTCCGGCACTGCCACCTTTGGCCCTATCAAACGATGAAACTTGCCATCTCGTAGCACCATGGCCAGATTCACACAACAAAATGGATTTTTTTTCGTTTTTTGAAAATTTCAAACTTTTATAATGTTTTATGACTTTTTTTCATTTAAAGGATTATCTGGATTTATTTTGTAATTGTGCGTATATTTCGTGTAATTTACTGAGATTTTGGCACCGCCAGTAACGGGTTTATAGTGCTTTTTGGTTGGGACACCGTTGGTAGCTGACTAGGATACCGTTGGATACCGGCTGGTGGGCGGTATTTTGGTGGATACCAAAATAGATTCTGTGATTTGGTTTTTCGATTGGCGGTCGTCGGTAACGGTGGTTTTCGGACAAATTTGGTGGTTACTGGCCGGTGACTTAGTAGTTACCAATCAGTAACTGGTATCTTGGAAGATACTAATCGACATCTTGACCAGATACTAGTGACTCAATTGGCGTCAATAGTTGGCACCTGTCAACGACTACTACCGCCAATACTGGTTGTTGTTCAGCGGATACCACCAGATATCTCAGTTGGATACTTGTTTTGTAGTCGGGTACCGATGGGTACCTCGTTTGGATACTTGTATCGTGGTCAAAGACCTATCGGTATTTTAAAAGTATATTTGGTATTCTAAATATAGTGTGATGTGTGGTTGCGTTATTATCTGTAAGAGTTTATATCTATTGGCATATGTTAATCTAAACCTAAAATCTGTGGTAATTCCCTATAAAGCCTTATCATAAGCCATGACAATTTTTAGAAAATATTTTTTTCTCAATTTGTAATAAATAACAGATTCCATGAAACTTTAGTTGCTAAACAAAATTATTAACATATTTATATTAACATATTTATTTTAGGTAGTTAAGCAAATAGAATATTCTTAAAAAACCAAGTTGCTTTTCCTATTTTACCCCGTTTGTATCAATGTTTTTATTTTGCGTTTTTTTCTTGGAAAAAGAAGATAAATACCTTTAGATAATATGAGTTTTTGAACTTTTATCTCGTACTTTTGATTAATATTTTTTAGTCAAATAACTATATTAATATCAAAAAGATATAAATAAAAAATAAAATAAAAATCTAGACTCATACACTCTAAAAAGTAAGTTTACTTTTTTTTTTCTTCAATCCTTCGTCCTCTCTCTCTATGTGAAGCCTTTGGGAAATCTCGACCATACCCACCACAATTCACACAATGATATTTTTAAAAAAATATATATTTAAGAGAGCACCATTATGTTTGTCGTTGATGAAATCTTTAATGATTATAAACAAAAAAAAATTGAAATTTCCTTATAAATTCAGTTCAAATTTAATGTTATTACAAGACAAAACAAATACGAAAAATATATAGATAAATTAAGATTGAGATTAATAAATATAAATATATTTTTAAAAATAAAAAAGGGAGAAAGAGGAAAATATGCCAAGACTTGAGATGAATTAAAATTAATAGGCCAATAGTTTACATAAGTTAATAAATAGGTCAAATTACTGTTTTCGTCCATAACTTGTCGGGTTATGAACCATAACTTGACAAGTTATTCCCGGTTTTTGTCTATAACTTGTCTGGCTATGAAACATAACTTGATAAGTTTATCCATAACTTATCTGGTTATGAACCATAACTTGACAAGTTATGGCCTATTAATTTCTATAACTAAAAGTTGGCCTATATACTTTCTTAAGCTTTTCATATTGGCCTATTTCCTACTATTTCCCAATAAAAAATATATGTGTCCGAGACACATACTGTTAAGTGCCAAGGCTTTTCTTATGAGTCTCAAAAGAATGAAAATTGTCCAAGAAAATTCCATTATTCATACATGCTTTATAAACACCGATACTAACACAAATAGATACTCTTTATTAGAGATGAAAATTTTACCCACCAACCTGATTACTCACATGAATCATGTGATTATTAGTTTTTATTTTTATTTTTTTAATTTACATGATTAAATAATTGATATTTAAAACACTAAAATATATCAATAAACAGATAAACGAGTTATCGAGCAACTAATGGGACCATATATGAAAATATCGAAGTCTACAAGGTTATTGAGGTTTTGATTTATAGATATGTCAATAAAAATGTCGATGTCGATTGAGAAAAAAATGTATTCTTGAGAAAATCTTAAAAGTTTTTATTTAAATTATAAAGAATGTTAAAAACAATTAATTTACTTAATTTAGACTAATTTAATACATTTTGGTCAGAATATAAGAGTTATGTCAAATTGTATAGTAGGAAACTATTATAATTATATATGGATTACGATTTAAATATAATTATACATACTTAATACAAACAAGCACAATTATTTAATATATTACATGAAAATTAACTATCAAATATAATAGAGTATACATGGATTTATAATGCTTTCAATACTAAAATAGTTTCTAGCAGGTTGGAAAGCATTAAGTAGGTTTCGATCCAATAATTCTAGAGGCATTGTTGATGTTCCACATGTATATTTTTTTATATCTTCCCCTTGTTAATCCTTAAATTGGATATTGTTAATTTATCCAACTTGGTGAGTAGTTTTTAAGAATGTGTAATAACATTTTAACACTAACTTGTAGTGGAGGATACACTAATATATCAAACAAACCATCTTAATTTTGTACTTCTGAAGTAGATCATGGAACCAAAACCAAGGCACAAAATCCTTTAATATGACTCATTTGAGTCACACCACGTCTTATTATAATTTGTTTTCAATTGTCCTAATACCAGAATCTGCTGTCTACACTTATGATCTTCATCTTATGTAGGATGAGTAAAATCTTCTTCTCCGGTGAACGGACTCTAAGGTATTTGGTTATGAATGTTAATTTAAAAAGTAAAAATTATTTAAAAAACTAATTAAGTCTTAATATTTTGTATTGCTTTTGATTAAAATCACATTGCCACCTTTTATTCAAAAAATAGGAAAAAAATGTGCTAAAAAATTGATTTTTGTGCAAAAAAAATTCCTTGATGTTTAACATTTATGGACATTTCTAAAAATATCCTGAATATTTACAAATATTCATGGATTTTACGAATATTTTATGCACGCTAAGAAAATATCTTTTCTTTTAATTATCCATATTGAGACTTCAAAACATGGATAATGTCGTGGAAATGTCGACAATGCTATAGACATTTTCATCCATGAATGAGACGAGCTTTCCCAATGGATCGGGGAGCATGGAAGGTTGTCCCATCCCGAACCCGTCCCATTGTGCTTTTTACTTTTCACCCACCAAAAAATTTAATTTCTTAATATTTTCTTTGATAAATTATCTAACAAAAAAACTCAAATAATAATTTTGTTAAAATCTAAACAAATATGAGAGATTCTCTTAATACGTTTGGCGCACGAGTATACTAAGTTTTTTTAATTGTTGGATATGTAAATTTTTTACGGACATAAAATTTAACTCATCAGTATGCTATTGTACCAAAAAAGTGAGCCTATTTAGTTCGCTGATTCGAATTGAAATGCGACTTTATATGAGTGCTTTTTACTGTAATAAAAAAAATATAACTGTTTTTAAAATTTTTTTACTATAATAAAATTTAAATTTTAAATTTAAATAATTAAAATAAATGAGACCATAGTTAACAAATGAGGGGAATAAAAAGAAAATGGAAATATTACTTTTAGGAATCCAATATCAATAGAGTGAACAATTGTTAACTCTTTTGTTTGTGATTTGCTCTTATTTTGATGACATGAGATGGTGAAGTTAAAGCAAGCCTAAGCTTTTGTTTCCTCACAATCATAGGCATCACGATCAAGATGAATCCCTCTCTCTCTCCTTTCCTTTTTTAGGTTCCCAAAACTAGAGAGAGAAAGCAGTTTGGGGAAGAGAGAAATTGAATGAAATGATCTCCATCATTCCCTCCCATGTGCTTTCTATTTTTCTCTTCTCTTCAATCCCCATACCTCCCTCTCCTCCATTCATCATAAAATCATTTAATTATTTTTAGCAAAACCCAAAAAAAAAAAAAAAGAGAAAACTTTGCACTTTCTCTCTCCATAATCTCAAATCTCTCTCTACTTTCTAGGGTTTTGAAATTTGCAAAAAAAAAAAAAAAGAAAAAAAAGCTAAAGCTGGTCACATTCCACAGATACCCATAGGAATCCAAGCCATCACCACCTTTTCCTTTTCAGGAGCGAATATAGAGGAGAGAGAAAGAGAAAGAAAGAGAGAGAAAGGTTTTCTCGTCTGATCCAATTTCACGGTCTAAGCGGAGGCTTTTTCTAGAGAGAGAGAGAGAGAGGGGGGGAAATGAAATGAGGTTGTTGTAGAGAGAGAAAGTTGCTGGTATGTGGATGAAGGTCTAGGTAGGTAGAGGGGCGATGTTGGCAATGGAGAAGGATTTTGATGCAAAGTTGAGGATTCAGGGGAATTCTTCTAATGGCGGCAATGTCCAGCGATCCAAGAGCTTCGCTTTCAGAGCTCCGCAGGAGAATTTCACCGTTCAGGACTTCGAATTGGGCAAGATCTATGGCGTTGGTTCTTATTCCAAGGTACCAGCTTTTTTCGTTCTTTTTCTTAATATTTTTTCTTTTTGGTGTTTCTGTTGCAGATTTGGTAGTTTATTCAATTATGTTGGCTTAAGATTTTTCCTTTTTCATGCATAAAAGTTTTATCGAAGTGATTTTACTTGTATGTTTTTCTGTGTAAATTGCGACGAATGTATTTTTATTAATTTGTAAATCAAGGATTCCATTTTTTTTCCTAGCTTTTGAGTTGTAACGATAATGGATTCATAAATTTGTCACTGGATGGAGGGTGTGACAGATGTCAAGATGACATGTTCAATTCCCTGATTTGTTTGTATTTGGCTCTTTGGTGTTAGATTATTATTTTTCGTATTTTATTTTATTTTATTTATGCTTTGATTTTGTGTCCTAGGTCCAAAATATCAGAACAATTAAGCCATACTCTTGTGTTCTGCTTTTTTTTTTTTCCTCCCCTTCCCGAAACAATTATTTTAGCTTATTAATATGGCTTCTGTGACATTGAAGATGTCTGAAAGCTGTAAATGTGAAGAACGTTTATGCTCTAGTACATGTTATTGTCAAATGAACTATAAAATCATAGACAAGTAGAAGCTTTAGTCCATGAGTTTATGCATTTGATACAAATTTTGCGGTGCTTTGGGGAGGTATTGTAAACAATGGTGTCAAACTATTTATGTTGCCTAGTTGATGTGGAGTTTATATTCGCCTCTTCCTGTTATCGTCGTGTCAAAAGGTTGTGCGGGCAAAGAAGAAGGATACCGGAATGGTATATGCGTTGAAGATAATGGATAAAAAGTTCATCACGAAAGAGAATAAAACGGCTTATGTGAAGTTGGAGCGTATTGTTCTTGATCAGTTGGATCATCCGGGGATCGTGCGACTGTTTTTTACTTTTCAAGACACCTTTTCGCTATGTAGGTATTCTTTTCTGCGATTTCTTAAAAGTTTATGTTTTAATTTTGTCTCAGTTCCTCACTGGCTCACTCTGTTTCTTGTTTTTTGTTATTTTAATTATTATTTGAGTCCTATTTCATTGCCTTTACCATTTACCGTTGTTGTTCTCATTTGGCATTGTTATCTGAGTTTTGTGAAGATATGGCACTTGAGTCCTGCGAGGGTGGAGAACTTTTTGATCAAATAACGAGGGTAAGTCGAGCAATAAAACTCTTCATGTCATAGTGAATTTATCTCCGAATTCGTCTATTGCATCTTTTGATGAAAAGATTGGATTTATCAGTTGATTATGAATGCTTAAGGAGATGTAAAATAAGATATTTTTAACATCTTTATACTTGGAAATTTCTTACGTGTACAGCTTTAAAGTATTACTTGGATCAAGTTTCTGATTAGTTTGAATACCAAAGGCCGGGTGCATAAAATTTTGTAGTATTCCTTTAGGTCTTGTTGCTTTGTGTCTTTTAGCTTTTCATTGTACCCTTCTGACGTTTTAACTTACTGTTAAGCAGAAAGGTCGTTTGTCTGAAGACGAAGCTCGCTTTTATGCAGCAGAAGTTGTAGATGCACTTGAATACATACATGGTATGGGACTGATACATCGAGATATAAAGGTATATTTCCTAAATGCTTGCCCAGTTTCAGTTGCATTTGAAGCATACTAAAAATTTCTTGAATACAGCCCGAGAACTTGTTACTTACGTCGGATGGCCATATTAAAATCGCTGATTTTGGGAGCGTCAAGCCAATGCAAGATAGCCAAATTACTGTCCTTCCAAATGCAGCATCAGGTATGTTTATGATCCTATCTGGTGGAGAACCTATATTTCATTTTTTAATGTTCTGACAGATTGCTCGTTGATGCGCTGTTTAGATGATAAGGCATGCACATTTGTGGGGACAGCTGCGTATGTCCCTCCAGAAGTCTTGAATTCTTCTCCTGCAACATTCGGGTATGATGCTCGTCCTAAATTAATCAGGCAGGCAGATACATAGATATTAGACTGTTAAATGTTGATAGGAGAAGAAAAACCTGTGTAATAGTAATGCTTGTAAATTCCTTAAAAGTCAATGTTCTTTGGGAAGCAGTCGGCTACTATTCTTCATTTTTCTTTTAGTTGTTTGTTACCCGTGTAATAACATTTTGTTTTTCCAACAGTAATGACCTGTGGGCACTTGGCTGCACCTTGTACCAAATGCTTTCAGGAACTTCTCCTTTCAAAGATGCAAGTGAATGGCTTATTTTCCAAAGAATTATAGCCCGAGATATCAGATTTCCGGAATATTTTTCAGAGGAAGCTAGAGACCTCATTGACCGATTGTTGGTAAGCTGCCGCCTCGGTATCCTTCATTTGGAACCTTGCTATATTACTTATGGATTTTGTAGTCCCAACTCCCACCATAACTTTTGTTGCGGAGAAGGGGTCCTCGACCCGCAACGGATAGAGGAGGATTTATTCAATCACATAGTTTGGGCTCCTAGAATATGGCGCCCTTGGGGCTTTCTATTTGATTGTATCGAAAGCCCCAATGAATTGGGATTTCCCTATTGGGCCAGGTCATTTCGGGGCAAGCGGATCATTAAAAATTTTTGGCTTACACTTGAATGGAATAAACTCTGCTATTTTTTGATTGGCTATAAACGCTGATAAATCAGGTAACTGGAAATTATTAGAAACAAATAAATAAAATAAGAAGTAACAGTAAAAATTAGCTATGTAATTATTGTTGCCTAGTTCATTTCACTGATTCGAGTTTTCAGTTTTAGGTTTCTACAGCAAATAGTTCTCAGAAAATGTCACATCTAACTTTTTCTGCTACAGTAAAAAGCTCTAAAAAAATGTCACATCTCAGCTCGAATCCGCGAAGTGAACGAGGCCTATGTAATTACAAACTGTAGTTAAGGTTTTTTATGACATGTTTCTAAAATAACTAGACAATGTAGGATAGAATTTATAACATATCTTTCGCTTATCAAATATTTAAGTTTACTTTTGTGATATATTCTTCCTATGTCAACTTACTGTTCTATATATCTTCTATATTGGAGATAGAATTTAACTCCTCCCGTGGTGTTTCCTCAGATTATAGTTTTGCATCAAGAATTTTATATTCAAAGTTCAGCCCTAACATTTAACGCATGCAGGATTTGGATCCCAGCAGGCGACCGGGTGCTGGACCTGGTGGTTACACAGCCCTCAAGATGCATCCGTTCTTTAGAGGTGTTGAGTGGACAAATTTAAGACAGAAAACCCCTCCAAAACTTGCTTTGGAGGTAGCCTTATGTCATCATTGTCATCTGATTTGCTCATAGGAAAAAGGCTTATTGAGTTTTGTATTTGAACACACTGATGTAAATGCGTTATTGCTATCATTGTATTTTAGGCTCACTCAGGTGAAAGCGATGAAGGTAACGATTCTTCATGGAACCCTTCACACATTGGAGATGGTGGAGCAAGACAAAATGAGGGGAATACTGGTGCCACGTCATCCTCTGAAGCAACTGCGCATATAACTAGACTGGCTTCCATCGATTCCTTTGATTCGAAGTGGTATTAGCTCCTTAGCTTTGGCTAATGCTCAGCATTACCTATGTTTCACTGTTGATTACAACTGAGCTATATGCAGTTAACTTATAGATCTATCTCTTCTCACCTATATCTAATATGTACTCTGTTGGTGACTGTAAATGCTATATTGTTTTTCTTCTTTATTGGCAACAGTCCAAGACAGGAAAATGTGGCCGGGTTGATGGTTGGACTTGATCTTATTTGGTACATTATTAGAAGAGATCCTTTTTTTGCCTTTCTTTTCGCTGAAGGGCTTGTGAATGGTGTTCATTACGTGTTCTTGATAAAGTATACTGGTTCTGTTTATAACCACCGAAAATCTTTGAGCTTTTAGGTGTTCAGTTTTCTATTAGTTGGGGTTTCAAGTGTGAATTATGTTTGGAAGTCTCGTGATCTTTTGATTCTTCATTTCCTTGTTGAGGGTGATAATGCTGTCCAAAAGCTCTGTATTCTCATGCTTCTTTCTCGCCTTCTGGACGTTCTAGATTTGAAATAGTCTCTCTACGATTCTCTCTCTCTCACTGTCTCTCTCTTTGGGTATGCAGTGTGGTTCTTATGAGTGGTTGGTTTTCGTCTTCATGCTAAATGGGGCATTCTTCATTCTCGTTGGTTTTTTCCTCTTATTTATTTGTTTTTATCTAGCACGTCCTTGTATACAAACACGGGAGTATTTGGCAGTGGCTATTATTGCTGTGACCTAAAACGTATCTAATCTGAGTTTTACCATGTGAACAGGCAACAATTCCTTGAACCTGGAGAATCTGTTATTATGATCTCGATGGTGAAGAAGCTTCAGAAACTATCAAGCAAGAAGGTGCAGCTTATCCTCACCAACAAACCGAAGTTAATTTATGTCGACCCTTCAAAACTCATAGTGAAGGGTAATATCATATGGTCTGATAACCCCAATGACCTCAACATCCAAGTATTGAGCCCTTCGAATTTCAAGATTTGTACGGTACGATTTCTCTTTTAACATTTTGCCGGCTAAAATCATCCAAGAACAATGATATTCTCCCATAATATTTAGAGTCTGTTTAGTTTGCTGATTCGAGTTAAGATGTGAATTTATGTGAGTTTTTTACTGTTGTAAAAAAATTAGATGTGACTGTTTTTGAGAGCCTTTTATTATAACAAATTCGAATTCTAAACTCGAATCGGTGAAATGAACGGGTTAATAAATGACATCATAAAAACTTGGATCTGGAACGACATGCTTTTCTGTATGTTGGTTTCTTTCCCTGATATTTAATTGTTTGATATTTTCAGCCCAAGAAGGTGTTATCATTTGAGGATGCAAAACAAAGGGCGTGGCAGTGGAAGAAGGCAATAGAGGGGCTTCAGAACCGGTGAAATCAGCTTTGCTTTTGACTACAACATTCTTTGCATAAATTATTATATTGTAGAGGAACATGGGGAATTCTTTTGAAAACAGTTGATGCCCCCAGTTGATTATTTATTTAATGAAAAAGATTTCAACAGGCGAAAGCATTTTTTTTTTCTCTTTCTGTTCAAACCAATCTTTCTTTCCAACTCTCTTTCGCCGTGCTCACAACTCGGTTTGTAAGTGGTTTTTCCGGTTTATTCTAAACTTCTCCACGACACAACTACACGGACCTATGCGTAGGGTCGAGTAGAAGGAAAAGAGGGTCTTGTACTCTTGTTTCTCTTCGACGTGTTTAAATTTATAAAGGCCCTAATGAAAACTTTGCTTTGGAAATTTTCGTTTGCCACTTGAAGAGAAATGGCATCAATCTTTGCGTTATATTGGTTTATGCCATGAGAAAAAGGTTCTTATAGAGAATGTCTGGGCACCATGTGTAGAATACCAAATATACCTTTAATAGTATCACACTAAGATGACCAGTACGTATCCCAGTTGGCAATCGGCAACCACCGATATCCTATCATGATAGTTTCTATCGGCGACAACCATTATCGTCTTTGTAATCCTTAAAAGGTATTTTAATCTGGTTCATTTCACAATTTAAATTTTATTGTTACAGTATTTTTTTTTATAAAAATTTAAATTTAATTTTTTTGTTACAATATTTTTTTTTGTCAATTCATAACTCAAGTTTTATTACTAGTGTTTTCTTTCATAAAAATTTAAATTTAACTTTTTTGTTATAATATTTTTCTCTCATATATATAATTTAAGTTATGACTTGAGTTGTGAAATAAACATATTTTACGTTGTGATACTCAAAATTTTTAGCAATAGACGAAAGTCGCTCGCGATCTTACCGTCATACCTTAGAATCGCCATCCAAAGATTGGACTTAGGGCATGATACTTTACAATTGCAGGCTAGAAATCGTCGGTACTAGTAGTCGCTGATCGTGCTACCATTGGTTTTTTAATGGAATAAATAATAAATCACAGTAAATTAATAAATTCTTGGATATTTGAAGAATCGGCCGAGCAGAGTTTTGGAAAGAGAAAAAGTCTCACTTCTATTGTTTTCTCCTCTATTTACGGGGCTTCGATTCAAATAGAAACTTCGTCTTTAATCTAATCATGCCGTTGGATCATGGTCTCTGCTTCATTGAATCGTTCGATTAAATAGTTTTGATCATTTTCGCGCGAGTCTTCTAATTCACTCAAAACCTCCACAATGATCTTTTATTCACTTCTGCCGATTCCCATTTCTTCGGCTTTGTTGGTTTGCTTAATTCTTTCGCTTTGAACTTCCTTCTCTGGACCTTCTTGACTAAAACGTCATTTTACTTTCCATGACAAGACATCGTCGTTCAATCTAATTTACTGTAAAAACGCTGTCGTTTTGTGTAGTTCAATTCTTACCTGTGTGGCGTGGGAACCATAGTTGACTATAATACACCTGGGAGAGTTGAGTTGATTAGAACCCCATAGGTCACAGCGTTAGATGGAGATTGTGCATTGACGATAAAAGACATGCTCATGCGTCTACACTACTACTTGTTGTCAGCAATCAACTGGACAATGTGTTGCTTCTGCTGCGTTTGGAACAAAGATTCATGCCATGGTTCGTGGCTCGTTACATTGTTTTCTTTCACAAAAAACACCGTAAACCAAGAATGATTCTAAATCATAGTTCTGAACCCATGAACCAAACGTTCACGAATCCCTGGATCAGTTTTGCGATGGTGCGGTCGTTCGGGGCTTAGATTGTCTTCTTTCTTTTTTATTTTTGTTTTTGTTTTTTTTATTTTTTTATTTTTTGAGTGTTGGATTATCTTGATGGTCATGTACACTACAAGAAAGTGGTTTTTTAGCGACGACATACCACTAAATAGTCGTCGCTATAGATCTATTATTGAAAATGATTTTAGTAACGATTAACCTATCGTCGTTAAAATTTGATATAAATTGCCAGATTCGTCGGTGAAAACTTGTCACTTTTTCATTCCCTTCGTTGTTCTTGTACATTTAGTGACGACGTAATTTAAATAATCGTCGCTAATAATGTCTTAATAACGACTGCATTTTTAAATATGTCGTCGCTAATTAAATATACAATTGTGCGTTAACAACGAGGTGGTGGTGTTCTTGTCCATTATGACAGACAGCAGGATCACAATTGTTACCATCTCTAGTCACGGGTCCAAAAAGAGCTCCAAACTGTAGAGGGAAAATTGTTCATCAATTTTAAATGTCGGGAATCACAACTGTCCAAAATCAAAGTTCAAACATTAATTTACTAAAAATACGAGTTCAACGATTAAAATATCACAATATTCAAAGTTCAAATACTAACTTTCTAACCCAAAGAAAAATGGTTAGGTAGAATTTTTCTAATTTAAAAAAAAAAGAAAAAAATAGAGAATTTACCTTTAAGAGTGTATAAATCTGAACATTTATCATTTATTCTTGATAAATATCCCTTTGTTAGTGTAATTATTTGACTAAAAAAGTTATGAATAAAGAGTAAATGATAAAAATTCTGACCAATGCATTTTTAAGTAATATGTAAATTGGCCATTCGCCAAATTTTTCTAGAGTAAATTTGCATTTGGCGAATGAATATGTAATGACAATGGATCCAATGCCTAAGATTGATCTCACAAGTGATTGATAAAGTAGTGGAGAAAATAAACAAAGATAAGTGGCTATGTCCACTGTGGTGTTTAGATTTCACTACTTAAAGAATATTGAGTACAAGAACTCTTGAGAAAGAGAATAATGGTGCGAAATTCATAATGGCAAGAGATGGCTTACAATAAGGCGGATTTTTGCATTCAAAACATGATGGTTTGAACTTTTATGATTTGGAATGAAAAGTTTAAAATAACAGTGGTTCAAAACACTTGGGGGGCTAAACTCAGAATCTTAAGGGGTTATTCTTTTAGAGTGTAATTTGAGTGTAATTTGAGTGTAGTTTTTGAGTTGAATTTGAGTTATAACTTGAGTTATAACTTGAATAAAGTTGTAACTTGAATAAAGTTGAGTAAAGTTGAATAAAATTGAAACTTAAAAGAATGTGAACTTGAATAAAGTTATAACTTGAGTTTAAATTTTTTCTGAGTTTTGTTGCAAAAGAACAACCCTTATAAGGTTTTCTGGTTTAAATATCAAACCATTGGTATAACCAAGTTTCAGAAAGTTTTGTCAAAAGATGGTTCAATATTGATTCAAACCACTTGTTACCAAGCGGAATAGATTTCCTCCTCAGAGTTGAAAAAAGCTTTATTTTGGAACTGTTTTTGAAAATAGTTTTTACGTATTTCGAGAAGTAAAAAATGAAAAGAAAAATGAAACGACGTTCGTTTAGTAAATATTTTAAAAATGAAAAACGAAAACAGTGAGAATGATTTTTGTGAAGGAATTAGAAAACAGTTGAAAGTTATTTTCACTTTTCAGTTTATTTTTTTTAGTACTTATCAATAATTTTATAATATATTAATTAATAAACACGATTTTACTTTTCTATTATACTCAAAAGAATCTCGTAAAAAATCAACCAAACACAATTTTAGAATCGGTCCCAAAATGATTTTCAAAACAATCTCATTTTTACTTTTTATTAAAAATAAAATTATTTTAAAACCAGTTTCAAACGCATCCTTTATTTGTTTAGTGGACATATGCTATTCAATTTCCTGATTTGAATCGAGTTCCACATTCAATTTTGTGTGTACTCCTATCATCTTTAGTGAAGTCAACTCTCCTTCCCCCAATTCTAAATTGAACTCTTTCCTTAATTATTAAAATTGAAGGTTTTAACGAAATATCATCGGAATATTCTAGGGAGCAATCATCTCGATCCTTATTCTACGCGGTTGTCGTAAATTCTAGAAAGATGAATTGAACTCTTTCCTTAATTATTAAAATTGAAGGTTTTAACGAAATATCCTCGGAATATTCTAGGGAGCAATCATCTCGATCCTTATTCTACGCGGTTGTCGTAAATTCTAGAAAGATACAATCGTTCTGATATATGATCTACGGTTTGGGTCGTCTTCTGGGTATTCTTGTCGTTGTATCTTTCTCTAGGCTCCTTGTGGTTGTTGATCCTTGGGTTCAGTCAATCTAAGTTGGACACACGATCCTCTCTCAATTAGATTCTCTCCTACTTAAAATGGTTGGCTTAAAAATTTTATTTATAGTAGAAAAATGATACGACTCCTATGTTCCGTTAATTTTCTTTTAAAAATATCATACCATATCAATTAAAATGGTATATTAATCAAAATATTTAGAATGCCCTCCACAAAAAGAAGACATCCTATTTTGTTGTTTTTATTTTTGGCTTAAAGCACAGAATCATGATTCACGGCAGACATTAATCTATGCATGTATAAGATCCAATGCCTTGCACGTGATTGTATTATTGTATGCATGCTTTTGATTTTTTTAATTTCTTTAGTTTTTCTCTTATTTCTTAATTAGATTAGATCGATAAAATGTGATACATCAATAAATTATTTCTTTTCTGTCTCGTTTATCACATAATCTATTTTTCTAATCGAAAGCAGAGATTATGCAAATGGCCGCAAGAATTGACCGAGTAATGTATCATGTATATACATATATATGTATGTATTTATGGTACTTATAATTCCTTTTAGAGAGAGAAAATTGACTTACAAAAAACAAATTTTATTCGGTCTTTAAGGTCTCTTTCGTGTTTTTTTATACCAAAACTAAGCCATAACACTGATTTTTTTTTATTTTTATATTTATAAATCTCTCTATAGAAACTAGAAATGTTTAAATTTGAAAAGTTTGTTTCAATTCTCCCTCGCACATTTTATAGACAAAACAAAACCAGGGGAAAAAGACAAGACAACCTTAATTAAACCAAATTTATCTTTCAAAAATATTGTTTTCTTTGAGAAAAAATTTGAAAAATAATTACGTTCAAAAAACATACCTCAAGATTTGTTTTTGAAATTAGATGTTTTGTTTTATGGTTTATTTATATATATATATA